GCAGCTAGTGTGTGTGAATGGGTGAAAGAGAACCAGTGTAAAGTGATTTGGAACGGCTAAGGTTAAGCTACATAAGCAGACCATTTACCATGTTAATTATAAAGATTAATATGCAAGTCATTCCGCGTGGAGCTTTCAGGACAACAGACCAATGAACATTTGTAGATAATATTAATGACATTATGACAGAAAATGCCTTGTTCATGAGAAATGAAGTGGAAAGAAATAGCTCTCAGGTGAAGTGAGGGCTGCGGTAAATCAGGATGACGTGAAGGGCTGAGTTTCTATCTGAATCTAGAAGATTTGGCCCAGATGCTTCAGAACCTTTTCCACTCGGGACAGATGTGAGCGGTAAGAAAATCGTAGCAGGCGTTTTTATTTATAGGACAGCTGCGACGTGGCCGAGTGGGAGCTATGAGAATAGATTGCTATAGTTTGCTGATTTTGTTGTTTGTATTTGTGTGTTACGAATACAAAACAAACAGCCGAGAGAGGAGAAACATGCCGTACAAGTGTCTTATGTTTTAGTAAAGACAGTGACACACCCAAACGTGCTGGAGTATACAGACGAATGTATGAAAAACAGCACTGTAATGCAGGAAGTTTCTCTCGGGGTATCTAAGGTGCTTAATAATTATTATGACTAATCGAACAAAAACATAGCATGATGGCGTTTGGAATGTTCCAGAAATAGACATGACAAGCCAAATACCAAAAGTACCACAACTCCATACAGCAAGCTGTGTTTTGCTTGTGGTCCGGTGATTAGCGTCATAGTCTCTAGGGCTTGATATCCCCAGTTCAATCCCCTGATTTTGCTTTAGATTAAAAAGTGAAAAGTCCTATAAGACCTGGAGATCTTGTGACTCAACTAAATGGGCGTCTCCTCTCAGTATAAACGTTGCTTGTTTGAACCCCAACCAAATCTCCAGGACATAAGCAGCAAAGATTTGTGACTTGGCTGAGGAAGGATTATGTAAGGTTTAGAGATCTGAGTTGTTGGTACAGTGAGTGTTGAGGACGTTGCAGTAGATGAGCAGCAAAGGTGTGGGACTTGTTGGTGTTGAGGAAGGAGGGCTGAAGTCTAGACTCATATGCTTCATCTTAAGTGGTCACCAACACTGTTGCTGGAGATCTACCTTCCTCCAGGTTTTTAAAAACTGTTTTTGCTGATCAAGAGCTTCAAATGTTGGCCAAAATTTCAGTTTAGCTTACTTGCTATAAATAAGAAACAGCCATATTGTAAAGATTCCTTCAGATTGCAATGGTTTCTGGAATCTACATTAATGCTGACTCAATTACCTATCTGCCATCTAATGCAATAAAAAACATGATATAAGGCTTATAAGACGATGGGTCTTCACCCAAGAGGAAAGGAAGTGTGTAACATGGAGGATGAGTGTGCTATGGATGTCCAAGGTGCTTCGGATAACTAGATGTTGAGTGCTGAAACCAGCACCTTTTACACCATCGATTCTTACATTTTCTGGTTCTTGTTGTCGAGCCTTCTGTTAAACCTCGGCCTGCGCTCTTCTGTTAAACCACAGCCGGCGCTCTTCTGTTAAACCTCGGCCTGCGCTCTTCTGTTAAACCACAGCCGGCGCTCTTCTGTTAAACCTCAGCCGGCGCTCTTCTGTAGTATGGTGGCTGGAGACATGACTCTGACAGTTGGAGATGGTTGGGTCAAGCCCCACTAACACTTTAAACCACTGTGTATAAGATAACTATTAATAAAATATGTGCCTCTTACTGGTTCCATTTGTAATATTTTCAAAATCAATTGACAATCCAAATGAAACCGTCCAGTCAGTCAGCCAGTCACCCATGGTGGCTTCTTTTATTGAGAGAAATGATGGGGACATAATGAGTGCTGCGTGCTGAACCTCATCTTTTTGGAGCTTATTATCTTTGCATGAAGCAGCTCACCCCAGCCCTGCTATAATACAGTGGATAGTGCCATGATCTTCGAAGCATGATAGCTCTGGTTCAAATCCTTCGTTTGCTGTTAACTTTAGGTTAGGACAAAGAAAACCAAAAGAGAAAATTCTTATAAGACCAAATCCTACCATGAGGTTCTATAGCTCAATCGGATGAGCTGTGCCTCTGGGTGATGAGGTTACTGGTTAAAAAAAATGGCATAAAGGATTTCAAGAAACATTAGCGGCAAAGGTTGAGGACTACTGTGGGACAAGGGATGTCAAAGAAGACATGTGCCTCCAATATATATGAGAGGTCAAGGATTCTGGAAAAAGTACAAGCTTCCACTACCAAGGTAGTAACTGGTTGGCACAGTGGTGTTAAGAAAGACACAAGCCTCCACTACATGAAAGGTAAAGCGTACGGTGTCAATGACACAATGTGTGCAGTGCAAGATGCAGGTCTCCACCATGGGCAAAGGTTGAGGATGCTGTGGAGCAAGACTGAGGTCTCCAGGATATGAGAGGCAAAGGTTGAGAAAGCAGTGGCAGGAAGGGGTGAAAGAACATGATATAAGGCTGTGTTAAAGGTGCTTGAAAAGAGCTCCTTTTGCCTTTAATATAGAGAGAGCAATGTAAAATCCATCACATACAACCTTCCCCCCCACCTCAGCCCCACTCCTCTCCTATCCACCACCGGTTCTCCTCAACCACTGCCTCCCCTCAACCACCTGCACGTCACCATCCAGCACCACATTCAGGGACAAGCCACATGACAGATTCGAACCAGCAACCTCTGACTTCAGAGGCAAGGCTTTTACCTCAGTTCAAGACACTGAGATGACGGTAGCTCTACCAGATTGACAGCCTAGCGAGCTTGAACCACAATGCAATTCTGTGCTGTCTGAAAGCAAGCAACTCAATGAAAAGCTGGGAAAACGGCTCCTGGAGAAACAACCTTCACACCATCGGTATCTCTAAATGGTCAGAAGGATCACAGCCTCTCTCATTCACCACATCCTTTTGCTCAGATTTACCTGGAGCCCGTAAGCTGCATGTGCTCGAGCTAGAGTTTCCTTCGACTCCCAGGCAAAGAAGTCGTCGTTTGCAAGTATCTAGCGTGATAACATAACACGGGCAGCTCCATTACAAAAACTCTTCCTAAGAGTAAAATTACTGACAAACAAACCAAGCAAAGACTACAAACGATGAAGTCGGATGATTGTGATTGCTGTTTGGAGGTTTCGTCATGGAGATATGGACAGACAGAGAGCGAGAGAAAAGCAGAAAGAATGACAGAGTGGCAGAGGAGGACGTAAAATACTAGCTGGTTCAAAATGAATGCACTTAACGTACGCATGTGGTTGGGAGAACACCTCATGTCCTACATCCTACCACTATACGAGCTATGATGTCATGATGTCAGGCTACATAACACATTATAATAACATCTCTTCGAAAGAACTATGTCTGCACTAGGATGTACAAGGTATTATTATTATTATTATGATTATTATTATTATTATTATTATTGCACTACAAGGTATGATATAGCACATTTAAATACATTAGGAATAAAGGATTTATTGAAAGGACAGAAATCCATTTGTACCTCATCGACATAACTAAACAACAACAACAAAAACGCAGCTGTCGTGTCATGCCTGAAAAAGTATAGCAACATTGGAGATAACGCAACATTGATTCCAATGACTTGAAATCACTGCTACGTCCTGATAATTCCTAAGTACTAGGACTCCTGCACTCCTGATTGAGTTTAAGACATGTTATCTGTATTTAAACGTGATAATTATTCGGATGTCGCAGCTCTGGTTTATTGTCCGAGTATCAAACCGCTAAGCCGAGTTTTAAAAGGTCCCCGAGAGCCACGGAATTCTGCAGGTAATATTTTCCGAGCCGATTTATTTAGACACTAGAGTTCAGTATTGCTCCACTGTACAGAGCCTCCTGTTTTATATGCAAGACCAAACGCATGACCCTGACCCCCGGGTGCCTCGCCATGCAGGAGTGATGAACAACACAAGCTTTTCTTTCCACCGACATGGAGACACCGAGGCAGATGGAGACAAAGCAAGAAGAAGAAGCCTGGGTATTAGACTAGAGAAGCTGCGTAAATCTCAGCACGTCTCGCTGTCTGACTCTCTGTGGTCTCAGGTAGGTTCTGATTCTTCGTTCGTCAAGAGCCTACGGTGATTCAATCAGACCATTCAGTTCAATTCAGTTTTATTTGTGTAGCGCTTTTAACAACGGACATTGTCTCAAAGCAGCTTTACAGAAAGATATAAACACAGGATGGAGATTTTAAGCGTGTGAATTTATCCCTATTGGGCGAGACGGTGGAGACGGTGGTGAGGAATAACTCCCTAAGATGAAGAAAGGAAGAAACCTTGAGAGGAACCAGACTCTGAAGGGAACCCGTCCTCATCTGGGTCACGACGGATAGTGTGAAAGTAAAAGAAAGTTTATTCATTACGGTCATCAGTGTCCTGGTGGGCGTTAATAAGATAGAAAAGCTTTAAGATCTCCCTGGTCATTAAATTAAATATCAGCTTTGTAAGTACTTTGAGGTTCTAGAGGTAAGATTTCTGCGTTTAGAACCCACATAATAATTCCAAGATCTCCACTCGTGTAACCGGTGTTAATGCTATCATAAAGGCACAGGGGCTTGTTGGGCACAGACTCTATGAAAAATGGATTAAATTATTATAATTTTTTGATCGATATGGTAAAATGTTCTGTGAGGAGACTTTTATTTCACATTTACGGAAGGAATCTCCAGCGACAGAGCAGTAATATTGCGTTTTCCACCACAGTAAAGTCTTCAGGGCAAAGGCGTTTGCGCGTTCGTGTTTTCATTCGATCTTTTTAACATCGAGAAAGAAAGACGAATGGCAGGCTGGTGACGGGAAAACGTTCCGCAAGCACAAGCTAACGAGCACAGATTAAAAAGAACATGTTGTTCTGCGCGATCGTTAGCAGATACTGTAGTGTAGGAGGAATAAAACACCATGGGACATGCTGTTATAGGAAAATAATCACTGTAACTCTCAGCTTCATCTGTGGGGCAGTGGTGGTTTAGCAGTTAAGGCTCTCGGTTACTGACCAGAAGGTCGGGGGTTCAAGCCCCAGCACTGCCAAGCTGCCACAGTTGGGCCCTTGAGCAAGGCCCTTAACTCTCTCTGCTCCAGGGGCGCTGCATCATGGCTGACCCTGTGGTCTGACCCCAGCTTCCTGACATGCTGGGGTATGCGAAGAAAAGAATTTCACTGTGCTATAATGTATACATGACCAATAAAGACTCTATAAGACAAGTATTTTATTCCTTACATATCTTACAGGGTAACATGGACCAATCCTATAAGACTGCTATGATCTCACAGTATAAAGCAGCTTTAGACGTCTAAACGCCAAGCAGGTTCCTGATGGAATGATATTAAAGCGTTTTTAGAAGAGAAATCGTCCAAAAACTTGACACCTCGTTGCACCGACGAGGAAATTAATGAACTAATGAACCCTGGGATAGTCACTATCCAAGGCATCCACACTTACACGTCCATAGATCGTCTTTGTTGCTGAACCCTTTAAGATTCTACAGTATATATATATATATATATATATATATATATATATATATATATATATATATATATATATATATAAATATGGATCTATACCAAGTATATCTCGATCAGAAACCGTTCCAGTTACAACTCTTAAAGAACCTTTGAAGACCCCCCACCAACTCTTTTTCTAAGAGTGTATGTATATGTAGTGCTTTAAGATATATAGAGCGTAGCAGAGCCATTTGGGATTCAGGCCTTGTTTCCCCCATTTTAAGCATCCCCTAATGTTTTAAACGTTCTAACAGGATTTAGATCGTCCTCTTCACAGTTTGACAGGCGCACAAAGAGCCTCGACTGGAAGGAGTGTAAATTAAAATTCCGCAAGAGAACATGATTATTTTTTCCCCTCCATTGATCGGCGCACGCGTTGTTGTGGGCATTAAGGCTTGATTAGTGCTGACACGATGGCCGGGCCCTGAAAACAAAGCCGTGCGCTGTGCATATTAAATGCAGTGCGCATATTAAATATAGCGCAGATCCTGAGGCAGGAATGAATATATATATATATATATACACACACACACACACTATATTCATTTCATCTCACAGGCAGGAGATGGGAGACTGCATGTGCTCATGGTCATTAATTACATCAATGCACTGGGACTGGATGTCTTTCTTGTATGGATGTGCTCACGTTCCTCTTCCATGCATTTGCAGTTTGATTTCAAGAATGAAGAGAGAAGAAAGGAGAGGTGTACTACTGAACCTCTTAAATCTCAGGTCCGCTTAGGAAAAGAAGGAAGGCTGATGAGATTTGTTAGTGGTGTTTGGGGAAAAGTGCACCGAAAAGTGCATTTGTTTCAGCTCTGTGTTCATCTTTTTTCTTTTTGCTCTTTTGCTTGTTAGCTCCAGTGATTCTGCACTAGCGATCAAAAGCTTGAGATTTCAGATCCTAGAACAATCAGAGAGTTAAAACCAAAAATGTGCACTTATATAGCGCTTTTATCCAAAGCGCTTCACACTGTGTCCTATTCACCCTCACACACCAATGGTTGCAGAGCTGCCATGCAAGGCGCTAACTTGCCATCGGGAGCAACTTGGGGTTCAGTGTCTTGCCCAAGGACACTTCGACATGTGGAGTCACCCGGGCCGGGAATCGAACCGCCAACCCTACGATAAGTGGACAACCCACTCTACCAACAGCGCCACAGCCGCCCAGTATACCAGTAAACCAAACCCTTAACCCTCACGCAGATGGTGCCTCGGTGGATCCGGAACATTCCTGAAAGGAACACAGTCTGGAATGCCAAGCCAGGTCTAAGGGAGGGGATGATTTCAGCTCTCAGTGTTTTATTGCTAAGGAATACAATTATCATTTATTAAAGAACGTGTCATACTTTTTATCAGTACATTTAATTTAACTAACAAAATCTGAATGAAGAAAATTCTGTATAAATTTTGTTTTTGGTCTGTATTAAACTAAATAAATAAAAAAAATTGCTACAAAATAAAAAAAAATTAATTGTACAAAAAAGGGTACTACAGGTTCATCATATCTCAATAATAAATACATAAATGTATAGATTCTCCCCCCAAAATTTTGAGTGAATAAACCAAGTCTCTGAACTCGGGCCATTGAAAATGATCACCATAGAAATAGAGCTCCAAATCCGGCTAAAATAGAGCTCCAAAGTCGGTTAAACCGACCTGCAGCCTCTTTCTTCAGCACAGTGAGAAATGACGATGGTCATGTTTGAAAGATACCAAAGAACTCTTTTTAGTATTATAAGCATGGCCGTGTAACCGTATAATGTGTAATACATTTCATTGTCATTGCAATCCGGCGCTATTATGCTATCAGTCACATCACGTGCACGTCAAATGCCGATTTCATTACTGAGACAGGAATCTCGCAGCCTCTCCACAAAAGAATGCAGTCACATGCTCAGCGTGCTCTCTATATATTTTAACCTTAAGGGATGCACAGATTGGGACCTCTTGTGTTCGAATAGTGAAATTCAATCACAAAAAAAAAAAAAAAAAAAAAACATTTAATTCCTGCTTTTTTTTTTAATAAAACAATACTATAATACTATTATTTTTACCTGTGATGTGGCTTGCAGCCGGAACTACCATCAACATCTTCTGACCAATCAGAATGGAGAATTCGGATATATAGCACTACATGATGATAGTAGAGCAGTTCCTGTGCTTTTATAATACTTAAGTATTTGTTTCTTCTCCTTCTTCAGGTCACAATGGAAAATGATTGCACAAAAGCAGAAAAGAGTCCCCTGACCATCATTCCAACAGGACTTATCTATCATCTCGCACTCTCTCTCACTCTCTCTCACACACAGAGGGAAAGCATGAATGTTTTTGGCCATATCTGGGCTCTTTTCTCACTTTGTGTCATTTTGAGGCCAGCTCTCCCTGGAGACTCTCGCTGCCTCAGGCCTGCCGGGTGTAACACATGAGCTCTGTCACGGCCCCTTATTTTAGAGCTGCAGCGCCACTCGCTTTTATGTAAATCATTTTAATAAATTTGCTCCAAAGTTGCTCTAAGGATTTCCACTGTCACTAGCGGAGGGTGACAGGGAAAGCGTGAATAATCCCTTTTGTTCAGCTACGGCTCAGTGTGAATCCTCCTCCATGTGTCTGAGTGTGTGTGAGTGAGAGAGAGAGAGACAGAGAGAGAGAGAGAGAGAGAGAGGCCTACATGCATGTTGTCATACTCTGCACTTAAGCAGACCATCTTGTCGACATAAATCTGCATGTTAACTAAAACGCGCAGCTTTTTTCCCTCTGATTAGTATAATTGGTGTCAACATTTAGAGAGGAAAATTGGGAGAATTACCCGGTTTGGCCTTGAGGCGGCCAATTTACTCCACGCACTAAAACGGAAACAAATCCTTTGCTAAACAGATTTTTTCGGAAAACCGTTCCCTCATTTTTGTTTGGCGCTGAACGCGAAACGGATGACGTGGGCGGACTGCTAAAAGTGTGTAATTAAATCCAGAAACACGTGAAACATTGTTAATGAAGGCGCCTGGCATCTGTAAAGTAAAAGGTGAGCCCGTTATTAGAGGCGTTCGGAAAGAAAGAAACAGGCGATAGGATTAGTTAAAAATACGTCATTATTATATAATAACTGGTGAATGATGTGACACAGAAAGAGGACTCTTACACACATCCAGGTCCAGAATTTAGAAACGAAAACGACGTGTTAAAGACAACGAACTAGCTAGACTTTAAATAACGTAAAGGATTAGGAGATGATGGACGGTCTGCGTTGAAGAGCGCAGGGACATTGTCATACTGAAGCAATTTCTTTTTAGACCATTAGTCCAAGTAGGACAGCGTCCCAATCCACAGTGCACATCAGGACGTACGCAGAGGTCTGCCTCGAGCCTGGCGTCTGACCGGAGATGCTGTCCCATTTAGAAGAATGTTCCGGATTCTTCCATAAAGATGTCTATCTGTGTCACGTACTGTAACCGCATACACACTCGTATGTGCGCTGGCATGCAACGTCCACCCGGAGCACCCCAAAACGCGAAAATGCAAGTACAGCTGACATTTCTCTTCCATTTCACTTCAGGCATTTTGCTTTTAAAAGCCCCCCTTTTTCCGAGTCTCTTTCCACGAGCTTTAAATACGAGACTAAATAAACGACAAGTTTAATAGTGTTTCTGTAGTGTTCTGTAGAATTGTAGAAATGTTCAATAAAAATGAAACTTTAGAAATGTTCAGCAGAAATGTTCTGTAGAAATGTTCTGTAGAAATGTTCTGTAGAAATGTTCTGTAGAAACGTTCTGTAGAGACGTTCTGTAGAAATGTTCTGTAGAAACGTTCTGTAGAGACGTTCTGTAGAAATGTTCTGTAGAAACGTTCTGTAGAGATGTTCTGTAGAAACGTTCTGTAGAGATGTTCTGTAGAAATGTTCTGTAGAAACGTTCTGTAGAGATGTTCTGTAGAAATGTTCTGTAGAAATGTTCTGTAGAAATGTTCTGTAGAAACGTTCTGTAGAGATATTCTGTAGAAATGTTCTGTAGAGACGTTCTGTAGAGACGTTCTGTAGAGATGTTCTGTAGAGATGTTCTGTAGAACGTTCTGTAGAAATGTTCTGTAAAACTTCTGTAGAAATGTTCAGCAGAAATGTTCTGTAAAACGTTCTGTAGAAACGTTCTGTAGAAACGTTCTGTAGAGATGTTCTGTAGAAATGTTCTGTAGAAATGTTCTGTAGAAACGTTCTGTAGAGATGTTCTGTAGAAATGTTCTGTAGAGAGGTTCTGTAGAGACGTTCTGTAGAGATGTTCTGTAGAGATGTTCTGTAGAAACGTTCTGTAGAAATGTTCTGTAGAGATGTTCTGTAGAAATGTTCTGTAGAAATGTTCTGTAGAAACGTTCTGTAGAGATGTTCTGTAGAAATGTTCTGTAGAGACGTTCTGTAGAGACGTTCTGTAGAGATGTTCTGTAGAGATGTTCTGTAAAACGTTCTGTAGAAATGTTCTGTAGAGATGTTCTGTAGAAATGTTCTGTAGAAATGTTCTGTAGAAACGTTCTGTAGA